AATTAGATATAAATCCTGTATATATTTTCGAATGTTTAAATTTAGAAAATACTAGGAAACAAATATTAAAAAATACTAAAGATTTAAGTGGTATATATATGATAATTAACAAAATAACCAAAGATTATTATATTGGTTCCGCAGCAACTAATAGATTTTATTCTAGATTTTCTAATCATCTTATTTATTTCAGAGGTAGCAAAATAGTTAAATTAGCTGTTGCTAAGTATAAAATAGAAAATTTTGCTTTTATAATATTAGAATTATATCCTAATATTGTAACTAAAGAAAATAATAAAGAATTAATAGATTTAGAAGATAAATATTTAAAATTATTATTACCTAATTATAATATTTTAACTGAAGCAGGTTCAAGTTTCGGTTATAAACACACTGAAATAGATCGTCAAAAAATGAAAGATATATATAATGATGCTAGACGTGAAAAAATAGGTAGTTTAAATAAAGGTAAAAATTTATCTAAAGAAACAATAGAAAAGATGAAAGAAATAGCTTTGAATAGACCTCCTATGTCAAATGAAACAAAACAAAAATGTATATCACATACAATACCTGTTATATTGTATAATTTGAACGGAACTATATATGGTAAATATTCAACTATTATAGAAGCATCAAAGGCTATAAATTGTAATGAAAAAACTATTAGAAGAGCATTACAAACAAAGAAAAAGTTAGTAAAAAGACAATGAATAGTTGAAGATATTTCTAATAAATAAATATCTATTATATTTTTGTTGCTATCCATAAATTACCCTTTTTAATTATTATGTTAAATTATAGTCCCATTAGTAACAATATTTTTGCAATTTTTATAGAAAAAAAAATATTAAAGTGGTATAGCCCGACAGGGGTATAAAATAATCATGGTGATTATTTGGCGATGTTAGTGAAAACGATCAAAGAAATTTTTTTTATTTTAAGATCGTCGGTTATATAAATGATCGCGACAGACTGGGTCACTAATGGGTGGCTGAAATGCTGCTTAATGCACAGTCGGAACTTCTTTGTAAAAGTTACAAAGTAGAATATTCGAAATAAAAGTTATTCTAGCTCTTTATTAGTATAGAGTAAGTTTGTATGTTTTACCTTATGGGCAAATGAGTTTGTGAGGTGCCACAGTTATAACTAATTTAATGAGTGCTATACCTTGGGTTGGACAAGATGTAGTTGAATTTATATGAGGTGGTTTTAGCGTTAATAACGCTACTTTAAATAGATTTTTTTCATTACATTATGTATTACCTTTTATATTAGCAGCATTAGCTTTAATGCATTTAATAGCATTACATGATAGTGCAGGATCAGGTAATCCTTTAGGTGTATCTGGTAATTATGATAGATTACCTTTTGCTCCTTATTATATTTTTAAAGATTTAATTACTATATTTATTTTTATTTTAGTTTTATCTCTTTTCGTATTTTATATGCCTAATTTATTAGGAGATAGTGAAAATTATGTTATGGCTAATCCAATGCAAACACCGCCTGCCATAGTACCTGAATGATATTTATTACCTTTTTATGCTATATTAAGATCTATACCTAATAAATTGTTAGGTGTTATTGCTATGTTTTCAGCTATTTTAATTTTATTAGCTATGCCTTTTACTGATATGTCTAGATCTAGAGGTATACAATTTAGACCTATTAGTAAAATAGCTTTTTTTGTTTTTGTGGGTAATTTTTTAATTTTAATGTTATTAGGAGCTAAACATGTTGAATCACCATTTATAGAATTTGGACAAATATCAACAATATTATATTTTTTATATTTTTTAATTATAGTACCTTTTATTAGCTTACTTGAAAATAGCTTAGTTGAATTATCTATCTATAACAATAGTTTAAATAAATCATCTAAACATTTTACTAAGTTAATTTAATTGTTCTAATACCTATTATAAATAAATATTATAATTTAGTATCTAAAAATTTTTCTTAATTATACTTTTAATTAAAAAGATTATGTAATTAATACTATACTTTAATTGCAAATCCTAAATATAGAATTTTATCTTTTTGATATAATCTTATATATAAACATAAATAGTATAATATTAATATATATATATATTAAAAACAATTAATCTATTTCTTTAATCATCATTAATGATGGAGTATCAGCAGAGCTTTACAATAATAGCCAGTCCTTTAGACCAATTTGAAGTTAGAGATTTATTATCTTTAAATGCACCTATATTGGGTAATATAAATTTAGCTATTACTAATATAGGTTTATACTTAACAATTGGGGCTTTTATTATAATATTATTAAATGTTATAGCTACGAATTATAATAAAGTTGTTTCAAATTCTTGATCTATAAGTCAAGAATCTATTTATGCTACAATTCATAGTATTGTAATAAATCAAATAAATACAAATAAAGGACAAATATATTTTCCTTTTATATATACTTTATTTATTTTTATTTTAGTTAATAATTTAATAGGAATGATTCCATATAGTTTTGCATCAACTTCTCATTTTATATTAACATTTTCAATTAGCTTTACAGTAGTTTTAGGTGCAACAATCTTAGGTTTTCAAAAACATGGTTTAGTATTCTTTTCTCTATTTGTACCAGCAGGTTGTCCTTTAGGTTTATTACCTTTATTAGTTTTAATAGAATTTATATCATATTTAGCTAGAAATGTATCACTTGGTTTAAGATTAGCAGCTAACATTCTTTCCGGTCATATGCTATTAAATATTTTAAGTGGATTTACTTATAATATAATGACATCAGGTTTTATATTTTTATTACTAGGGTTAGTACCTTTAGCTTTTATTATTGCATTTTCAGGTTTAGAATTGGGTATAGCCTTTATTCAAGCACAAGTATTTGTAGTATTAACTTCTTCTTATATTAAAGATGCTATGGATTTACATTAATTTTAATAGTTAAAATTAATAAAATAAATTATCTTATTAATTTTTAAAATATAGTTATAGATTAATGGTTTTTTTAGTTAATATTATATAAAAAATTGTAATATATATTGCATTCATTTCAATAATTATCTTATTAAAAATAATTTTTATATAACAAGATAGGAAAGTCCTATGCTTAATAAAAAATGTATATATATATATATATATATATAAAGGTTAAAATCTTAGTAAATAATAGAAAATATAAATCATATTAGTTATAAATAAATAAAATAATGTAATTACATTATTTTATTTAGTATATTATGATTGCGAACTTTTCCCTCATTTTTAAGCTTTTTATTTAGATAAATATGCAATAACATAAATAGGCTTATATATATTCAATATATATATATATATATATAATCATAATAATAATAATAATAACAACTATAATACTTATTATATTTATAATAGTTGTATAAATAATAATTTTATTTATTTATGTATTTAAATACATATAAAATAGAAATAAATTATAATAGTAATGATTAGCTATTAATCATTAACTTTTTTTAATTCTTTTAAAGTAAATAATAAGAATATAGATAAAATTAAGCTGAGTTTGATGATGGCTCTGAATGAACGCTATCCAAATGCTTGACACATGCTAATCGAACGTCTAATTTTAATTAAAAATATAATTAGAAGTGGTGTACAGGTGAGTATATGATATTTTGGCTCCCTTAAAGTAAGGGAAAAATCCCTTATAAAAAAGAAAGGAAAAAAAGTTCCGCTTTAAGATGTTAATAAATATTTCGGATAAGTAGTAGTTAAGGTAATGACTTAACTAGCTTAAAAGTCCGTAGTCGAGACCGAGAGGTCGATCGACCACATTGGGTCTGAAAAAAACCCAATACGTATAGTACAGCAGTGAGGAATATTGGTCAATAGCCTAACGGCTGAACCATTAACTTGGAGGAATGTATAGCATTAGCTAGTTATAATAACTAATAGTTAATATAGCATCGATTATATCGAATAAAGTTCTAGATAAAATAATGATTATGACAATTTTTTATCTATATGTCTTGACCAAATCACGTGCCAGCAGTCGCGGTAAGACGTGGAAGACTAGTGTTATTCATCTTTAATAGGTTTAAAGGGTACCTAGACGGTATTTCTAGCCAAAAAAAGGTACAGATTTACTAGAGTTTTATGTGAGAAGGTGAGAATTTAAAGTGTAGAGATGAAATTTTTTAATACTTTAAGGACTGATAATGGCGAAAGCAACCTTCTATGTAATAACTGACGTTGAGGGACGAAGGCCTGGGTAGCGAACAGGATTAGATACCCTAGTAGTCCAGGCAGAGAATTATGAATGCCATAAACTAGATTTCTTTTTAGTTTATAAATAAAAGTGTAAGCATTCCACCTCAAGAGTAATGTGGCAACGCAGGAACTGAAATCATTAGACCGTTTCTGAAACCAGTAGTGAAGTATGTTATTTAATTCGATGACCCACGAAAAACCTTACCACAATTTGAATATTAATTTATTTAATACAAGCGTTGCACGGCTGTCTTCAGTTAATGTCGTGAGATTTTGGTTAGTTCCATTAAATTAACGTAAACCCTTGCTTTATTTATTAATTTTTTTTTATAAAGTAGTTCACCGCTACATTGGAAATGATAAAAGGGACTAAGACAAGTCAACATGACCTTAATATTGTGGGCTATAGACGTGCCACATATGCTTATACAAAAGGATGCAAAAATGCGAATTTTAGCTAATCCCTTAAAATAAGATATAATATGAATTGTAGTCTGTAACTCGACTACATGAAAAAGGAATTACTAGTAATCGTGAATCACCATGTCACGGTGGATTTAATCTCAGATAGGTACTAACTACTCGTCAGGCGCTGAAAGGAGTATGTGCAATAAGTTTGGTTGAATCTTAATATATAATATAAGCAATTGGGCTTGTATATATTAATATCCAATCTTCGTATGTGTGACTCTAATTAGTGTTAAGTCGAAATACGGTTCGTGTAGTGGAAATTGCACGGGATTAATAAAAATTAACAAAACCCCTTAAGGAAGGTTCCGTGTGTTGGTTAACGGGTTGAGCTGTAAACTCAATAACATTAAGTTACCGAAGGTTCAATTCCTTTTCTTCCTATTTAATATAGTATGTTTTTTTTGTTAATTATGTTAGGTTATAATTAGAAATAATTTAACTAAATATAGTTTAAATATGAAATATAAAAATTATATAATATAATTTTTATTATATTAATGCGTTAGCTTAAAGGTTATAGCATTATGTATTAACACATACATAAAGTATACAAGTTCGAATCTTGTACGCGTCTAAGAAATTATAAATATATTTCTATTTACTTTTTTTTTTAATAGAGTAAAAAAAATTATTTTTTTAGTTGTATATTCTCGGTTTAATATTTAAAACTATAAATTAAAATATATATATATATATAGATGAGACAGATAATAATAATACAATGAATAGCCTTTTTGTTTTAAACGAAACTTATACTAATGGTTTCAGGGTCGAAATTTTAGATTTTCTTACAATACTTTCTATACTATGTGGTGTGTTTGTTATTATTAGTAAAAACCCTATAGTATCTATTCTATTTTTAATAGGTTTATTTTTAAGTGTATCTATATATTTAATAATGTTAGGATTAAACTTCATAGGTATATCTTATTTATTAGTTTATGTAGGAGCAGTATCAATATTGTTTATTTTTATATTAATGTTAATAAATGTTAGAGTTTCTGAATTATTAAGTTCTACTAGTAATACTATACCCTTAGCTATTATAATAGCTATATCATTTTATACATCTATGTATGAAATGTTACCATATAGCATAGCAGCATATACTAGTTATACTGAAAATTTAAATACAATATTTAATAATATTTTACTGAATGATACAAACTATTTTAATCAGATTTTTAAATTTTTAAATGATAAAGATGAAATAGCATTTGTAACATCTAAATTATGAGATGGTAATTTAGCAGAAACTACACATATATCTAGTTTAGGTAATATAATGTATACTAATTATTCTATTTGATTAATAATAGCTTCTATAATATTATTATTAGCTATGGTAGGTGCTATTGTTATAACAATAAAACAAAAAAATTA